GTCAGGAACCTCAGAAGGTTCCACCTCTCCCACCCCAGTTAAAACTCACTCCATTACAAAGGGAGCAACTGGAGGAGGGTGTCGGCAAATTGGAGGGGAAGGCAGGCATGGAGGCAGCAGAGGGCACCCGCCCAATGTCACCCACCCTAGGAAAACTGTCCCCCTCAAGATTTCTGACAGTGACACCTGCTCCTCTCTTGAGTCGAATCCTAATCTTACACAAGATAAAACCAAGGAACTTAAAACACCCCTGCTGAACCTAGAAGTCAAAAGCCACAAACACTACCCTCCTCCTCCCACACAGACCATTTCCTAAAATGAACCCACTGGCTCCCATGTGACAAGAGCCAGTGTTGGGGCCAGCCCACTGATCACAGCCTTATGGTCTCTAGATATTCCTCTTTGGTCATCCACTGGGACTGGTAGGTAGACAGCTGGGAGACCATGGACGCACCCAGCCACACGCTGAAACGCCGGTTTTCGCTTACCCACACACTGATCTGAGTCAGGCCATGGTACCCGGATCTCAGCTCTTTAAACAGATGTGTGGCAAAGCCGGGGTATAGGGTGTTCCCCCCACAGGCCAATACATGCGACATGAGCAGCGAGTGACTAGAGGCCTCGCAGGTCTCAACGGAATCCAGAATAATCTGGGAGATGCTGGGCCCTGGCATGTCAAACACATGCGGGTTAAAGAACATCTCAGGGGCCATCATCTGCCTGGGGCTCAGCTCCACAGTGATGCCATCTGGGAGCTGGTAGGTGTTGTTCTCCTTTGAACCTCTGGGCAGACTGTGACAGAAGTCCAGGGTCTCCTCTAGGCTCGGAGGCATGAAACACTTGCCCATTTGTACTGCAGCTACCGTGTCCATCTGGAACAGGTTGTGGTGATCACAGGCCTCCTTGAACAGACTACTGAAGAGATACGTTGAGAGATCCTTCCCAGAGAACTCCAGCATCTTCCCACTGAAAGGTGGGGGGCAGCCCAGGTAGAACGGCTGCACTCGGGTCAGGCCGTAGCCAGAGTCCAGCACCAGGCCACTCAGCAGGCCGGAGGAGTACAGAGACATCTCCATCTGGTTGGCCAGGAGCACCGAGGGTGCGTCCAGTAACTCAAACATGATCTGTGGCAAGGAGAAGCTACGGTAAGTACAGGCTTCC